GATTTTTTGATTTATTGTAGAGATGAGGTCTCGCTGCCCAGGCGGGTCTCGAACCCACGGGCTCAGGCAATTCACCCACCTCAGCCTCCCAAAGGCGCGGGATTACAGGCTGAGCCACCGAGCCCGGCTGAAAATTAGAATATTTAAAAATAAAAATATATTTGTAGCCTCAGAGAGCTGGGGCAGAGAAGAGGGACCATAAGAAGGTATTCTTGGTTCGATATCAATCCGCTGGATCTTTTTAAAAATAGCTTTATTGAGATGCAATCCACATACTATACATTTCACCTATTTAAAGTGTACAACTCACGGTTTTTTAGTAAATTCATAGGGTTATACACATTAGTACAACCTAATTTTTTAATTGAGGAATAATTCACGTACCATAAAGTTTACCCTTTTAAAGTCTACACTTCAGTGGTTTTTAACGAAGTTGTGCAACATCCCATTATCTATTTCACCCCAAAAGAAACCAATACCATTAGCAATCGTTCCTTATTCCATCTTCCACCCTCCCCCAGCCTTAGGCATCTTCTAATCTTTCTGTCTGTAGAGATTTGTCTACTCAGGACATTTCATCTAAATGGAATCATGCAACATATGATCTTTTGTTACCAGCTTCTTTTACTTAGCATGATGCTTTCAAGGTCCGTCCATGTAATTGCAAGTACTAGTGCTTTATTTCTTCTTATTATTGTAGTATTTCATTGTATGGATGTGCCACATTTTATTTATCTATTCATCAATTGATGGACAATTTGGGTTGTTTTAATTTTTGGCCATTAGAAAGCCTATAATCCCAGCACTTTGGGAGACCAAAGTGGCAGGATTGCTTGAGCCCAGGAGTTCGAGACCAGCCTGGGCAACATAGCAAGACCTCATCTCTTTGAAAAAATAAAGAAAAATTAGCCAGGTGTGGTGGCTCATGCCTAGAGTCCCAGCTACTCAGAAAGCTCATACAGGAGGATCACGAGCCTAGTAGTTGGAGGCTAAAATTATCCAAGATTGTGCCACTGCATTCCAGCCTGGGTGGCAGAGTGAGACCCTGACTCTAAAACAAAATAACAGGATAAATGCTGCTATGGACATTGTAACACCCAAAGCAAACACACAAGTTTTTGCATGGATGTGTATTTGCAGTTTTCTTGGACATATACCCAGGAGTTGAATTGCCGGATCATGTGGTAACTCTATTTTTAACATTTTGAAGAATTGCCAAACTTTAAAAAAGTGACTACACCCTTTTGCAGTCCCACCAACGATGCATGTGCATTCTCATTTCTCCACCAAGATGTTTATCTTTTTGACTGTCACCATCCTATGACAACGAAAGAGGGAGACAAAGTGGTATCTTTGTAGTAGTTGTAGTTTTGATTTGCATTTCCATTATGACTGTTGGTGTTGACCATCTTTTCATGTGCTTGCTGGCCATTTGTACATCTTCTTCGGAGAAATGTTTATTCAAATGCCCATTTTTTAATTCTCTTCTTAGTATAAGGTTGTAAGAGTTCCTTTTGTATTCTGGATACAAGTCCCATACTAGATTTGTCTTCTCATTCTGTGGGTTATCTTTTTACTTTCTTAGTAATGCCATTTTCTTAGTAATGCACAAGTTTTTAATTTTGACATAGTCTAACTTAATCTATTTTTCCTTCGGTTGCAAGCTCTTTAGGTACTGTATTTAAGAAACCATTGCCTAACCAAAGATCACAAAGATTTGTATGTTCTCCTCCCAGTTTTATAGTTTTCACTTTAACATTTAGGTGATGGTCCATTTGGAGTTGATTTTTATGTGTTGTATGAGGTGGGGGTCCACCTTCACTCCTTTCCATGGCTTATGTCTTCTGTTTTTAAGGTAACAAGAATGTGGTAACTAGAGAGCACTTGGACCGAATGAAGAATAGCTGCATCGTTTGTAACATGGGACATTCCAACACGGAGATTGACGTGGTAAGATCAAGTGGCTCATTATTTGAGGGCTTTTTTTACCCCCTTCTTTTTCCTGAGAAACAAACCGGAAATGAATTCCTAAGAAATCCAGCCATCTTAAACGTGACTGTCCTGGCAGAGTTGTCCACATCTGTTCACTTACTAGCCCTATGGCCTGTGTTTCTGGAAACTCTAGGGTTTCTTCATCTCAATTTACTCATTTGAAAATGATTGTCTTCTTCCACCCAAGCTTGAAACCTACTTCACTGTAAGCCATTTTATCTCTGAGTTTAGGATTCAGAGTGGGATAAACTCAAAACTACAAGAAGGATATAATGAATGTGAGTCAGGCAGGATTTGAGCGTGTTTGGTTTTACCAAAGTCAAGAGAGAGAAAGATCTGTGGGTGGAGGGGATTATATTGCCTAAGATGAACTGTGTCTGTCACATATGATGATTCCTTCTTTTCTCTCCCTTGCTTATTGGGCTAGGTCTCCCCTCAACAAATTTTCCAAAACATAGTAACTGGGTCTGTAGGTGTCAGGGTCAATCCAGTGCCCTTGTGTAGTTGCATGTGTTCTTCAGACTTGGAAAATCTATCACTTCAGTTCTCTGGTTTGATTATTTTCACCCTAAAATATTCCAATCCAAAGTAGCGCTTGGTACTAATAAGTTGCCCGAGTAATAGTTAATAGAAATGTTATTTCTTTCTTTTCAGACTTACCAAAGTATCTCTCAGTGCACCTTTCACTCTAGTTTTACATTTTCATGGCATTTGTATGGCACAGCTGTATTTCCTTCTGGGTAACTGGCTCAAGCAAAGCATGCTTTCATCTCCACTGAGGGCTGCTCTGTTTGAGCCTCAGCATTGCCAGGTAAGGATCAGCTGGTCCTTTGGGAGCCTGCTGGCTAGCATCCATTTTATATGGTTTCTCTTTTTAACTTGGTGCCCTATTCTTCTATTGTTAAAAATAGCTGGTGAGACAACCTGCCAAAGCCTATTTCTTCCCTAGGGTGTCTGAGTGGCATGGTTCCATTACTATATCTTACCATGATATTTTGCTTATGATGAATAATTTAGTTGATAGTTGGTTCTTTTTCTTTCCTGTTTTCTTTTTCTTTCTTTCTTTTTTTTTTTTTTTTTTTGCTTAAGTTCTACTTGTGTGCCATACCTCTACCCCTTTGCTAAATGATCAAATATATTAATATTTCTAAAACTGTCTAGCACATGATTTTCGTTTCCTGGATTAATCTGCTTATAGAGCCCCCAAAGGGGAAAAGATTAAAGGGAAGTATTCATGTCATGTCCTAGGCCCTAAAATCTTCAGAGTAGGAGAAGGAGGAAGGAATTTCCCCTCTGAAATAAAAAATAACTCAGAATGCAATTGTGTACCTTCTGTATTTTTACTTTGTCTCATTTCATCTTCTTATTCTTTTACTTACTATTCAGTTGGAAAACTAAGATGTCGAGTACATTGTCAATCATATAATTGGTTCCAAATGAAATTGGAGCACAAAATCCAGGATTTTTTACTCCTAGTCTAGTTTTGTCTTGTTTTTCTATATGTTGTATTATTACCTCCTCATGACTTGTAGATTAACTTCAAATTGTGATAGTTATATCACCTTCAAAGACAGCCCTGGCCAGGCAAGATGGCTCATACCTGTAATCCCAGCACTTTGGGGGAGAGGTGGGAGAATTGCTTCAGCCCAAGAGTTTGAGACCAACCTGGGCAACATAGCAAGACTTCATCTCTACAAAACAAAAATAGAAGCAGCCCTGACATAAGCAATCTCTCAGGATAAAGGCCAAAAGATCAGGAGTGGTGGCTCATACCTGTAATCCTTGTAATCCCAGTGCTTTAGGAGGTCAAGGCAGGAGGATCACTTGAGGTCAGGAGTTTGAGATCAGCCTGAGCAACACTGAGAGACCCCCTACAAAAAAATGTAAAAACTTAGTCAGGCATGGTGGCATGCATCTATAGTCCCCGCTACTCGGGAGGCTGAGGCGGGAGGATTGCCTGAGCCCAGGAGATTAACGCTGCAGTGAACTATGATCACGCCACTGCACTCCAGCCTGGGTGACAGAGCCAGACTCTGACTCTCAAACTATAAAATAAGCAAATAAAAGGCCAGAAGACTCTTTACCTTCAATTACAAGTATTTTTGGATGATTGCTGCATGCCAGGTATTGTTCTGGATGCTTGAAGTCAGTGAACTAAACAGGTGAGGACTCCTACTTTCATGGAGCTTGTACTTTAGTAAGAGAAAAGACAAACATTAATAAATAAGTAAAATGTATACTATGTTGGGAGGCAGAAGCACCGTGGAAAAAGGGAAAGCAGAGCCTGGCGAGGGGACTCCACTAACATGACCAGGCTGTCGTGTTCATAAGAGGACCCTGCTGAGAGCCTCGTGAAAGCAGTGTCTGAGTGGACATGGAGGGATGTGCCATGTGGAGTTGTAAAGTCTGGAAAGCATTTCTAGAGGAGAGAACAGCCAGTGGACGTGCCCTCTGGCAGGAGTGGACCGGTCTGCTTGGAACAAGTAGGCCAGTGCGTTTGGAACAGAGTGAGCATGGGGCAGCAATGAGCGGGAGGTGACATTGGAGGGAGCAGGCCAGAGCTGATAGGGCCTCAAGCCCGGCACAGGAACACCTGGGGATAGTCCGAGAGAAATGGGGAGCCATTGTAGCTGTTGTAACAATCCAACTTGTGTTTTGAAAGGATGACTCTTACTTTAAAAAGAGCATTCTGGCTGCTGTGTTGAGTCTACACTTAATTTGGCAGGTATTGCCAGGTAGCCCCTCATGCCTACCACAACGTGAGCTTGCAACTGTCTCCCATCTCTCTTTGTGTCCTTCTTGGCAGAAGGTAATAGGCTAAGATCAGAGGTCCCGAAGAGGAGATGCTCAGAAGAACTTTTGGAAAGTTACTTGGCCTTCAGTGGTAGTATCACAGGCATGTGAAATGAAATTCAAGGAAGTGGCGAGCTCAACGACTTACTGAAACCAGAATGTTCATTCCCTGTTGAGCAAATTTCTATTAAATACCTGCTCTGCTCTGTTTTGAGTTCTAACTGGCTGAAGAAATGGCAGTGATCAACATCCCAGCTCTCAGAAAGTGTCTATTCTAGTGTGGGAGACAGATGACCAACAGACAGTGATTGTCAGTCAGTGCTTAGCATTGAAGAAAAACAGCAAGGTGAGGACACCAAGGATGCTATTTTAGTCACGGTTGTTGGGGAAGTCTTTCTGAGGAGATAACATTTGGGAAAACAAAAAACAAAAAACCTGGATGGAATGAAGGAACATGCCGTCTGGGCATTCTGTTCTGTGAGAATGGCAAGTAAAAGACCTGAAGTAGACACGTGTTTCATGTGTTGGAGGAACAGAAAAGAAGCCTCTGTGGGAGGAGGGACATTAGGCAGGGCTGAGAAGAAGTAGCTCGAGGAGCTAGGGGCTGCGCAAAGCTTCCTAGGCATGACCAGGACTTGAGATTCTGTTCTGAGTATGAGGAAAGTTATCGGAAGGGTTTGAGAGATGTGCAACAAAATCTGATTTCGATTTTTAAAAATCACTCTGGCTTTTGTATCAAGAGAGCACTGGAGCTTGAGTAGTGGACAGGGACAACGGGCTCTTTCAGTATGTTTGACTATAGAAGCTGGTGACTTGAATTAGATGGGCAGACAGCGGAGATGATGAGAAATGGTGCGCTGTGACCAGTGGGATTTGCTCAGTGGATCAGATGCAGAGTGAGAAAAAGGCAAGTCACTCTTGGGCCACCCAGTGACACCGTGTAGGAGATGACTTGGGACATATTTATCCGGATGCTTTTAATACCCAGAACTTGAGGGTGGTTTTTCTTTTTTTCGGTGGGACTTGATCGTTTACCTAGCCTTGAAATGTTGCCTGCTGCACATTTAGTAAGGTATACAAGAGAATTGGTCGTTTAGAAAGCTGCCCCCTTTTCTGAGAAGTATCTGAGCTGTGGCTACTGGAGAAACCTGTGATAGGAATTGTGCCCTCAGCTGCCTTTGGGCCATGTCTTTCTTTACATTTCCTTTCTCTTAAAAAGAAACCAGCTTGCCCACTTGCATCACACAGAAGTCCTGTATGATTCTTAACCAGTACACAGGCGTTAAAAGTTTTTTCCACCCAAAGAATGACTTAACCTGAGACTTGCTTTTGACTCGTGTTTTACAGGACTAGAACCAAGTTGTTCACCCTGAAAAACACTGATGTGCAGCCTTCAAAATCCTAAGACCAATTTGTGCAGGCATAATAACTGACTGACTTATGGTGGGATGTACACCTAGTTTAGGAAGGTAGTTTGTAGAGGCATCCCTGTTCTGGTAGATTGCTTAGTGATTATAAATTCACCAGAAGACAATTAGATGTCTTTAAGAGGAATTTTTGTCAAGCTGGTAAATTGCTTAGTGATTATAAATCCACAGGAAGATAATTAGATGTCTTTAAGAGAGATTTTTGTCAAGCTTTAAGAGAGATTTTTGTCATGGGTGGGAAATCGCTCTTCTCTTGAGGAATGTGACTGCCAGTCAGTCTATGGAAGTTCCCTGGACAGTGGTAGAGATAAGTTAACTACGTTTCTCTTCAAACCCCTTTTCTAAACACACTCTCGGGGCTTTTGTCTGCATCATAGCCATTCCAGTGTTCTAGTAAACTGCACCTGGGAAGCAGTGATTATTTTCCTGTGTTCAGAAGTGTCCTTTCCCTGATTCCACCATTCTTTCTTCCTGAGGAATACTTCCTAACACAGTAGACTCTTGTTACCATGGCTTCAACCCTTTTGCTCCTGATTACCAAGATTGCTGTCCCCTAGAAGATGTGAAATACTGAGAACCTGAAACACTTTAAAGTCCCATCATCTCACTAAAAACTGTCAGTGGGCCAGGCTCGGTGGCTCAGCCTGTAATCCCAGATCTTTGGGAGGCCAAGGTGAGCGGATGGCCTGAGCCCGCGGGTTCGAGACCCGCCTGGGCAACTTGGTGAGACCTCATCTCTACAATAAATCAAAAATGAGCTGGGCGTGGTAGCGCGCGCATGTAGTTCCAGCTACTTGGAAGGCTGAGGCCGAAGGATCGCCGGAGCCCGGCAGGTGAGGCTGCAGTGGCCGCTCCCAGCCACTGCACTCCAATCTGAGCGAGTGAGACTCCAACTCAAAAAAAAAACTGTCAGTGGGGCCAGGCTTGGTTACTCAAACTGTAATCCCAGCACTTTGGGAGGCCGAGGCAAGTAGATCGCCTGAGCCCGCATGTTCCAGACCAGACCAGGAAACTTGGCGAGACCTCGTCTCTACAATAAATAAAAAATTAGCTGGGTTTGGTAGTGCGTACCTGTAGTTTCAGCTACTTGGAAGGCTGAGGCAGAAGAATCGCTGGAGCCCAGCAGGTTGAGGCTGCAGTGGCCGGGAGTGTGCCACTGCACTCCAGTCTGGGTGACGAAGTGAGACTCCCACTCAAAAAAAAAAAAAGTAAAAATGTCTAAACACATGTAGATCTACTTTATTCTTTTTGGTACTCCTTGCTGCAGTACTTCTGTTTTTCAAAGAGTTACATAAACTGGGCGCTATGGCTCACGTCTGTAATCCCAGCACTTTGAGAGGCATAGACGAGAGGACTGCCTAGGCCCACGGGTTCGAGACCAGCCTGGACAACTTGGTGTTACTTTGTCTCTATAATAAATCAAAAAAATAGCCAAGTGGGATGGCTCATGGCTATAGTTCCAGCTATTTGGAAGGCTGAGACGGAAGGATCACCTGAGCCCAGCAGGTGCCACTGCACTCCAGCTTGGGAGACAGAGTGAGACTTCGACTCAAAAAAAAAAATAAGAGTTGACCAGGCTTGGTGGCTCAACCTGTAATCCCAGCACTCTGGGAGGCTGAGGCGAGTGGATTGCCTGAGCCCGCGGGTTCGAGACCTGCCTGGGCAACTTGGCGAG